CTTGCCAGTGCCGGAGGGGACACGACTGCCGGCGATGGACCACGGCGGCCGAGGCAGATTCCAACGAGAGCTCCAGAGCGGCCAGTAGCCGGCCGGAAACCACCCCTGCTACGTCGAGGTGATCATCGCGGCCGCTTCGCCACCGCGACCGCAAGGTGTTCGACCTTTTGCCAACAAAGGTATGGACAGTGGAGACGAGTTTTTCTTCCATCACTTCCTTTGTTCATCGGACGATTCGTCGTCGGATGATGAAGAACTTGTGGTGGCTGCACTGGTCGTGAACGACCATATTCAACGGCAGCTTCCTCGGTACAGGGGGTCACTCCCTGGCAAGGCTCCCAACCTGAACCGCAACAGGGAGAGAGGCCACGCCCTGCTCTATGCCGATTACTTTGCCAACACCCCGCTCTTCAAGCCGGATAAATTTCGTCGCCGTTTTCGTATGGCAAGGCATGTGTTCAATCGTATCCGAGAGGGAGTGGTTGCTCATGACCCATACTTCGAGTGCAAGAGGATGCCCTTGGCAAGCTTGGATTCTCCTCTTACCATAAATGCACCGCGGCCATCCGCATGCTTGCATATGATATTCCAGGCGATCTGGTGGACGAGTATGTGCGTATGAGTGAGACAACATGTCTGATGTCAATGTACAAGTTTTGCCAGGCTGTGATCGAGGTGTTTGGCCCAGAGTACTTGAGGCAGCCAACTGCCGCTGATACAGAGAGATTGTTGGCGACCAATGCAGCTAGAGGCTTTCCAGGCATGCTTGGCAGCATTGATTGTATGCATTGGGAGTGGAAGAACAGTCCATTTGCTTGGCAGGGCCAGTACAAGGGGCATGTTAACGGGTGCACTGTCATATTAGAAGCGGTGGCATCGCAAGATCTTTGGATATGACATTCTTTCTTCGGTATGGCAGGTTCTCACAATGATATCAACGTGCTGCAACGTTCTCCAGTCTTCGCGAGACTTGCAGAAGGAAACTCCCCACCTGTCAACTTTGAGATCAACGGCCACCAGTACAACAAAGGATACTATCTAGCAGATGGTATATATCCTAAGTGGTCAATTTTTGTGAAGACAATCTCGAAACCCCAAGGTGAGAAGAGAAAAAGATTTGCCCAAATGCAAGAGAGTGTTAGAAAGGATGTGGAACGTGCTTTCGGTGTGCTTCAATCCCGGTGGGGTATCGTTCGAAACCCTGCACTGTCATGGGATGAAAGGAAGCTTTGGGAGGTGATGACTGCTTGTGTGATCATGCACAACATGATCGTCGAGGATGAGCGTGATGAGAGTATCTTCGACCAAGGATTTGATTATCAAGGTGAAAATATCGAGCCCCTGCACCAAGACCCGGCCACATTTGAACAGTTTGTCCAATTCCACCGTGAGATGCGTGATTGGCACACTCATTTGAATCTTCAAAATGACTTGGTTGAGCACGTGTGGGATCACATTGGCAACCAATAGATGTATTGGTCCAATTTATGTTCAGTCAAGACAATTTCGATTTGGTTGTAAAACTATTTTATTTAAGACAATTTCAATTGGGTTGTAAAACTATTTTAATTTTCAGACAAACATTTGGGTTGGAAGTAGTTTGATGCAAATTTAGGCATTTTTGGCCCTCACTGACAGGATGGGGCAAATGGATGCGGCCGCGCGCTGGGCGCACGGCCACCTCATCCCAGGACAGGCCCGGACACGACCCCAAACCCCTACCCAAACAGACCGAAACCGGAAAAAATGGACGTCCATTTGGGGTCGCGCGGTGGAGTTGGCCTAAGAGGCACGCAACGTGCTTCTTAGAATGGTCAAATTATTGCACCTCTTATTGTTGCCATACCTGATACGTCCTTTGACATGTAATCTGTTCAAAGTTTACATAGAAGTTTTCCTGATTGCAATGACCTGCGTCCAGTTTAGCTAATGTGGTTAGATTTATTTTTCCTTTAAGTAATCGGTACAGGTTGCAGCACCCAAAAAAAGGCTAATAGAAGCGGTGATAGTAGAACACTGAGCACAACTTAGTAATTTCAGTTCTTCTTCTTAGAAACCAGAACCAATATCTTAGGAAATAAACAAAATGATTCTTATTTCTTCTCATTTTAATACACAACTATGGTACGGTCAGCACAATCTGGGCAACAAATTGCAACATTCATGGGGGAAACATTGCAGCAGGGTACACGATGAGTCAGAATAATTGAAACCACGCCAATGAGAAAGAGCTCAAAAACTCCCAAGTCAACATGGAAAAAGTTCTGCACTGAAAATTCAGTCATGATCCGAATAAGAATTATATCAAGTGCAGCCTCGAGCACACACATGGGCATCAATTTTTCTTCAACACCAGCAGCCGGAGGCGCGCACACAATATCTTCAACAACTTTAGTCATGAAAAGCACAAACTACATGCACTGAAGAAAAAAATTGAGCCAAAAACTCTATGGAGAAATCAACCTCATTGTTACAGAGGAGGGTCAAGGAGGGCGCCAGGAGGAGGGTGATGATGCTTCCATGAACATCTGTTTTATTAATTAAAAAAGGAGAATGGAGGAGAGATTCTTTCACTAACTGAACAAAATATGCTCACCCGTGTACATGTATCTACCACATGCAAAATCAAACAGGCACAAGTCACAGCCTCAACAAAAAATCATCACTATCTGCACTTGTCACTCACCATCCTCAAAAACTAAATAGGCACACAATTAATAGAGAAGGGTGCACATTTCATTCATTCGGAAAACATAGTGCACATGCAGTGCTCAAACATTTATTCAGAGAACAGTGGTTTAAACAGATACAGAGATTGACACTTCATTGTCATTTAAAACATAATAGAAAATCTGCTATCAGGTTAAGAGTAACTCCCAAGATTTCAGAGAAGAGTCAAACTAACAAATCTAGTTGCAGGTTTTAAGAGCTAATGGAAAATCAACGCACCTCCGAGGACTGTGACAACAGCCTCGCCCACGGCCCTCCGAGGTAACTGTTCAACAAAAAAAATACAAAACTCTTTGCACCATGTGAGTATAAAGCCCTTGATTATATTATAAAAGTAATGCTTACTCCCTCGCACATATGAACCTTGAAATAAACAAAAATCTAGTTCTATCTAGGATAGATGAAGATAGATAGACAGGTGACAGTGGATAGATTTCTCAAAGAATCAACCGTCTAGCACACTAGCCCTTGTAAACTACATGTAAAAGATAAAAACAATCGAGAAAATGCAAAAGACCTTTGCGTTTCATTGCATTGAAAGGATGGGGAAAAGTTACAGTCCTCCTAGGAGGTTGGTTTTACAGTACATCATACAACTCAGTGGACATCCCAGAATTGGTGCAGAACAACCCGCAGGCCTTGTGCCCCTGCCTTAGACCAGCATCATATCTCATCCTTGATCTTGTTGAGGAGCCCGGTGATGAAAGGCATCACATTGTCGAAGACGCATTCACCGATTTGATAATTTACCCAGACATAGCACCTATCACTGATATGATGTCATTGGCGATATTCTTGGCATCTGCTGCAATACCAGCCAATCCTCTCCTTCCTAACCCAGCACAGTAGAGCCCATTTCCACCTTTCCAATGATTCGGATATTCTTTGATGGGCAGTCCATTGCCATTTAACATGCTCTCACCATTCTGGGATAAAAAACAACATAAAGCTTGTTAGCAGATTTAACAATTGTTGCACCAAGAAAACAAACTCAGACATGTTCAAGCATCGATGTTGTTACCTTGAGCCATATATTTGTTGTGCTTTTGTATCCAGTTGCAAACACAATCGCGTCAAATGATATCTTTTTACCGCACTGAAATACAACTATATCGTCCATGATCTCACTAATGCTCCCCTGTACCTGTACGAGATGAATAGAATATTGACAACTTGGCATATGAGGACAACATCTGTTATGAAATTTATGTCATGTCAAGGATATACTTACTTTGATGATACCTTTTTTGATTAACCCAACAGTGCCAACATCAATAACAGCGGATCGGCCGGTCTCTGACTTGAGGATCATTGGACCCACTTTTGGCCTTCTGATGCCATACCTCGATAGATCACCAAATATGAAATTTGCCGCCATCACAAGGAGGTTATCCACTAGATTCAATGGGAGACGGAGAGCAAGTCTCATCCCCAACCGGATTAATTCCTTTGTCATTACATGAATCTGCAACCATAAAACATGTCACATCTCTTTTGAAGCCTGCATCATAAAATAAAATTTCATAGAATCATCTTCTTTCAAGAGTTATTTTTTCTGTGTAGTTCGTCTAATTGTTTAGTTGTTTGTGCATGTTATAAAATATTCTATCGCTCTATACCATGAAATACTTTCCAGTAATAACTTTGAAAAATTGCATCCTTCTAGTGGTGACTATATTAAGAAATTGCCCGTAACCATTGAAAATATATAGTGCCCGTAGGGTGGAGGTGGGGGGATCCCCTAGTGTTTCTAGGTCAAAAAATAATATATAGTGCGTGTACATACCGGGCTTCGTATAACGATTGAAGTATTGGCACCATGAGCCGCAAGATCATAAGCAATTTCCATTCCAGAGTTGCCAGATCCAACAACCAATACATTCATGTCAGAGTAGCTCTTGCCTAACTTGTAGCTTGAGGAGTGGATGACATCACCCGGAAAACTTCGCAATCCGGGGATCATTGGAATATTCTCTGCACTATTCTCACCACTTGCAACGACAAGAAACTTTGTTGTGAACCTGACTAGTGTGCTCTTTGCCATGTCATGTGCCACGATGGACCAACATTTTCCGTCATTGTCAAATGTGGATGTCTCCACACTAGTGAGATACTTGGGTCGAATATTGAAACGCTCAACATAGTTATCCAAGTACTTCACAAACAAGGTTTTTGGTATGTATGTTGGCGCATCTAGTGGGTATGACATGTGTGGCAACTCACAGAACTCCTTTGCAAGATGCAGCTTGAGGCGATCGTAGGCGCGGTTGCGCCAAAGCGACGCGCTGCAACTTTCATGATCGACAATGACATAGGGAATTGAGAACTGGCTAAGGCATGCTGCTGTTGCAAGGCCTGCTGGCCCAGCGCCAACAATCAACACTACAACATTCTCCATTTCAAAGAGAAGAGTTGACAAAGTTGTGGGATGGATGCAATGCTAGGCTGGTGTGTTTGCTTGTTTGCTCAATGAATCTTTGGATGCATATGTGGGCATATATATACAGGTATGTTTCATGTGTCAATCTATTTACAATGAGGAATGAAAAAGGTAAAGATTTATTGATCCCTTATCCTGGTGTGTACTAGTATTCCATCTACATATTGAACCGCTGGTGTGAAAGCATGTCCTGATACATTATAGGGGCACAAAATAGGCAGGAAACACACTCTTGAACGGTTGTTTTTTTTGGAAACTTATTAACCGGCTTTGGATATGTTTAGACTAAAATCTCTTCAGAATTTCTTTCCATTCCTGTTGTCATCAATGAAAATTCATATAGGATAAGTATATGTTCGGTATATACTCCCTCCGTCCCGAATTACTTGTCGCGAAAATGGATGTATCTAGACGTATTTTTAGTTCTAGATACATCCGTTTCAATCCATTTTCAGGACATAATTCGGGACGGGGCAATACTTGTATGCTAATTAAGATTAAAGAAAGATTGGTATTGTTTCTTTCCTCTTCTGTATATTATGCAAGCATTTCTTTCCTTTCCCTATACTTGCAAACTAACCGACCATGGCCAGTTAGCCTTCCTTCCATATGGAGATGGACCTTGCAGGAGTCTTCTAGGCCATCGACACCAATGTACCGATCGAGCATGGATGGCCTTAGACTGTGGTTGTTGGGTTGCACTTGTAGCATTTGCCTTGTCGAGCATTGAACAATTTCCCCAGGTTGTCTATCTAGAAACTTCATCCGTGACAAGGCATGTTTTCAGCATAAGCTCCCCAGGTCGTCATTAGCGTGGTAGATTTGCTCCGCTTGTTCTTTTGTCAGCCGTTATTCGGTAGGCCCTTTGTGCTATTGTGAAAAAGTGTTAGTTGTTGTTCTGCTACCTTGTCTTGTTTTGAGATTTGGATCCTATTGGAACCTAGTTTTTGTGTTGTTTCTGAACTCCTTTTGTTCAGTTTTGTTTCTCAACCTAGTTTGAGACTTTGACTCACGACCCGCTATCGCGCGCGGCCGGGGCGCGCCAACCCTAGTCGCCGGTAGGGGCCTCCTTGTAACACCCTGGTTTTTGGCCCTTTTTTTCTTTCGATTTATTTGTTTTTTCCCCTGGTTTCATTTTTGGAGTGGTTCTATGGCCTTGCCACCTGAGAGATCATCCTCATTCCTTCTCTCAAGCCGGAGGCGCGCACACAATATCTTCAACAACTTTAGTCATGAAAAGCACAAATTACATGCACTGAAGAAAAAATGGAGCAAAAAACTCTGTGGAGAAATCAACCTCATTGTAACAGAGGAGGGTCGAGGAGGGAGCCAGGAGGAGGGTGATGATGCTTCCATGAACATTTATTTTATTAATTAAAAAAAGGAGAATGGAGGAGAGATTCTTTGACTAACTGAACAAAATGTGCTCACCCATGTACATGTATCTACTATATGTAAAATCAAGCATGCACAAGTCACATCCTCAATAAAAAATCCATCACTATCTGCACTTGTCAATCTCACCATCCTCAAAAACTAAATAGGCACACAATTAATAGAGCAGGGTGCACAGTTCATTCATTCAGGAAACATAATGCACACGTAGTGCTGAAACATTTATTCAGAGAACAGTGGTTTAAACAGATACAGAGATTAACACTTCATTGTCACTTAAAACATAATAGAAAATCTGCTATTAGGTTAAGAGTAACTCCCAAGATTTCAGAGGAGAGTCAAACTAACAAATCTAGAAGCAGGTTTTAAGAGCTAATGGAAAATCAACGCACCTCCGAGGACTGTGACAACAGCCTTGCCCCGGCACCAGTTGGATAGGAAACAATCCAAAATCAATCCAGCACACACCAAAACTGCATACAACGACGGACATGTAAAAATCAAAAATCAAAAATATGAAACGACCGACAAAGGCACTTGCCAGAACATGAACAACGCACATGAGCAGAAGAGCAGGTTGGGTGACAGGGTGAAGAACTTGTAGCAAATCAGATAATGTAAGAGTAATCTCACCTTCGAGCAACCATAAAACAACTTCAATAAAAACTGCTACAACTCCCACAAATCCACTTTAGTTTGGCGACATGGCAACATGAGGGATGTTGCTGTGTGTGGCTGCGAAGCGGAGGTTGCACGGTGGGATATGAATGAGCTTGATGGAGACCAAGAAGACAGCGAGTCGCAAGCTTGTCGGCCATGGAGGCGGAGGCAAGCTGGGCGCACTGAAGCGATCATCTCCAGCCAACTGTTATGGCGCGAAGTGCATGGTCATAGCAAAGAGAAGTGCACGGTCTGGGTCAAAACCACTCAAAATCAAATACAAAACTACTTTAGGGGGGAATTGATCTGGTTTTAGAGATTTGAGGGGCTGATTGAACCGGTATTAGAGTTGAGGGGGAAATTATTTCCAGGGGGGGTACTTTCCTCTGAGATCAATCGAGATGGAGAACAGAGAATGAGAGCGACTGGTGATGGAGGAGAGAAACTGGGTGGTAATAGTCCATCCCACAGTCTGAGCACATCACGGCTGAAAAACAATGCAAGAACCTTGCCTGCACATGGAACCGATCGCACATACATGACCTTTTGTGGGCCAGGAACTCTTTGCTCCGGCCTGAACACTGGCACAGTGCAGGCGTGCCAGCCTACGGGCTGGGCCTAGTGTCTATGCACATGCCAAAGTGGTCCAGATTCATCTAAAAGAGGAAATAAACTTCACACATACAAAATGTTAGAAATGTTTTGAGGTAAAGGAAGTGGACCAGATCCCAATGTGAGCATGTGGCTGAGATTGCCACCTCTGAAGAGAAACACAATAGCTTTGCCTTGCATTGGAGGTGTTGGGCGTTGTTGCTTCACTAGCTGCTACGTGTTCCCACTAAACAATTGGCTAGGCTTTCTTTTTCTACATATTGTACTGACTCTTAAGGAATTTACATGGGATGATGGGAGGGTAGCTTCTCTTTTAACACAGTATAGATGCATACGCTTATACATACACACATACTTTTAAACACATTATAGATGCAGATGCTCATACATACATACACTCACTGTAGTGGCCTTTTAAACATTTTTACTGTCTCTTAAGGAATTTACATGGGATGATGGGAGGGTAGCTTCTCTTTTAACACAATATAGATGCAGATGCTTATACATACACACATACTTTTAAACACATTATAGATGCAGACGCTCATACATACACACATACACTCACTGTGGTGACCTTTTTAACATTTTTACTGTCTCTTAAGGAATTTGCATGAGATGATAAAAGGGCATCTTCTCTTTTAAACACAATACAGACGCGGACGCTCATATATACATACACTCACCGAGATTTACCCGGCAGTCAGCTTCTTCGTGTGTTTTGTCCAGCGGTTTTTCTAGAGCCAGCCAACCGAACCAAACAAAAGATGCATGTCCACTGACCGCTTTGGTTTTTCTCTCGAGAGTCCTCCTACCATCACGAAACCTTTTCCTCCTCCACACCGCTGC